TTTGTAGACTCATAAAAACTTGCAAAAAAAATTTTAATTTTAAAAACTATATTCCAATCGGATTCATTCAAAATAGTATCGTCTTCGTCTCTAACATGTCTATTGTTATAAAATTCAATAATAAACGCTTCAAAACTTTCATATGATTTTAATAATAAGTAAGTTGAGTTTCATCTATGGTCTACGTCAGTAATAAAGGTTTGCGTATGCGTCTTCCCAAGTTCTTCACAAAATTTCTCAAATGCTTGTTTTTTACTAGGTATAATCGTGATATATATAAGTGCATTCCTAATTCGATTAATTTCATCATTAACATATTTTAAACCGTCTTGTATTATTAAATTAAAAATATGGCACACACATCGAATATGAAATAAATAACTATCGAAATCAAGTTGAAGTACTCTGTACAATTTATCGATAACAACTTTATTTACAGTAGCGTTGTCGTGAGTACTCAACAATTTTAAAAGCAATAATTTGTTTATGCATGACCCAAAGTGAGTCTATATAGTGTGCAATTGCATCTATATAATCTCTCTTATTAATTTATTTCCACATATCCGAAGTTAAAGATATTACACCTCCATATTTTTCTAAATCAGCAATCAATAGTTTCTTTGAATTAAGAAAACATTCAATTGTATCAGATCGAAGAGTATTTCAACTTACCCCAACGCATATTGGTTGAAGATATTGTTTGACGTAATTTACAAAATGTTGGTTGTCCGCTATTGCTAGTGGCAACTCCACCTCGGAAACGAGCTTCACCATTCCCATTCGAGCTTCCTCCTCCGAATACATTCACGTAGAAAGTGGCGTAGTAGTAGCACTGGTGCTTGGAGTACCAAACTGTAGTTGCGTTTGATCAGTTGGAAGAAACCCATGTTTGACCGCACAGTTTTTGTAGTGATGGTTGAGGTGGGTAGTTCCAATACTTTTTTGTCATGTCAGTCGTTGTTGACAGTATTTACATATTGCTTTGGTTTTTGCAAGTCCATCGACAACTCGACTAGTGTGAACCAATTTGAAATGATCCCAACATTTTGCCTACTTCTTCCCATTTTTCTTTCCTCTTGTATCGGGAATATTTAATGTAGGTTCTTCATCTTGTTCCAAATCAATTGGAACACTATGATCAACATCAACGTCATCTAAATCAATTAGATGACTACCTTCACGAACGTCGAAATCTTGAATGTTTCTGGAATTGGTAATTCATTGAGACCAGCGAATTCATTCCCAAATTGATTTTGTGCAAGTGTTTTGCCTTCTATACCGAACAAGTTTTCAACAAATGATTGTGGATCCATTTGTGAATAATAGAATTTGAATGTTGAAGACTTGAAGTATAATATAGAAATGCAGAATTGAGAAGTGAATGAAGATTATGTAGTGGTGTATAAAATGAATTGTAAAAGTAAAATCAAGATAATAATGTTAAAAAAATGTAGAATTTGAAAATAATTATAGAATGAATGAATGATATTGTTGATAATTTGTAAATTGTAGAGAGTAGAGTAGAGAATGAGAGATTGATGGGAAAAAATGTTGATTAAGGTGTGTATTTATAGAGAAAAAAATGAAAAAAAAAAGGGACCAAGCGGTCACTGAATTAAAGTGACCAGAACGGTCACTATCATTGAATTTATCCAAAAAATTTATTATTTTTTTTTTTTCAAAAAGCCCACGAGCCGAGCGGCTCCTGGGCTCGTTGTGGGTTGCTCGCCGAGCAGTTCGTGTACAGTACAAGCCAACCCGCTAGCTACTGCTCGGGCTCGTAGCGGCTAGTAGGCTACTACAGTACGAGCTGCTCGACTCGATTGCCACCACTACTATGTAACTGATCGTTTACTTGTATGTGATTTTTTACATATTAAGTAGATTTTTTTTACTTATAAGTATGTATACATTAATTTCTTACTTGCTAATGAATTTTTAACTTAAGTAATATTTCTACATATATATTATTTTTTACTTATAAGTGACATTTTAAATTAAAAATATATATTTTAATTACAAGTGAGTGTTAACATTTTACTTTCTTAGTAAATTGCTCAGTGTAAAGTATTGGTGGCAAGCTTTCTAATTAAGTGTCTTTTATTTATTTTTACATATGTTAGACTCGGTAAGTAAATGGTTTTATTCAAGACTAGCAAAATTTAAGTTTTAATAAATGTATTTTACACGTTTATCTAAATTCCTAAATAAAATTTGATTAATTTAGCAACTTCTACCCACGTTATATTGCATTATGCTTTTGTAGGTTAAATTTCCAATTTTAAGATGAGCAAAATAAAAGGAAGTGATTTGGAGCATTAATTGGACAAAAAGATAAATGTTGGATGAAAG